AGCCTCGTGCAGGTTGTGAATCACACACTCCTGCGGAGGTTCGGAGCACAGGGACAGTCAGGGCTGGGTGTTTAACTCCTTAGCAGAGGTTTCAAGTCGAACTTGCACTTCTGGAAGGATGTTATTTTAAAAGCCTGAGACGGATGGAACCTTGCCTTTGCTTCCTAGGAGGCTACGTCTTGGCAGAAGTTACAGGCTACATGGGACACTCAAAACAGTAATAAGAAATACTTTCCAATTATGGTACAGCACACAGCTCAAGCAAAAAAAAAAAAAAGCCCAATAGTATATTAAAATCTCCACTTTTGTACCAAGAGGCTAATTAGGGCACAATGAAATCTGTAGCCTTTCCTTCCATTCCAGGTTCCTGTAAGGATATCTGCACCATCACTCCTATTTATAGATGGTTCATTTTCAAATGACAATCCAGTTGAAGATTCAAGACTTGGCGCTCTCGATCTGGACGTGTGACTTGGGCAATCCCTTACAGCGCTCTACTGGATAATAAAGGTTAATGACATGTATCCTGCTTGGTGCAACACTAGATTAAAAATCTGTGGAAACTGCAAGAGCTAGTTAGGAAGCTTTGCGCTAAAAAGTTTTCCAAACAAGCCTTTATTTTTTAATATGCACATCAGCGTGCACCAGACCACTCGCAGCCGTGTGGCTCTTCCCCACACCGATCAAACGTTGATGTGAAGGTGTATATGCAAATCCCCACGTCAGGGTATACAAGAGTTGCGTATGCAAATATTTGCGCAGCGACAGCACACCGCAGCTGCGTGCACAGCGGCGTACGAATGCGCACAGACCCGAAGCGTGTATGCAGTTTTCTACGTATCGAGCTTCAGAGTGAGAACTTGTACATTTTATAAGTGCCTGCAAACAGCTGCTCGCAGCAGACCTTCGCCGAGCCGCAGCGACAGCTGTACCGCCGGGGCTGCCGCTAGCGAGGCCGCCACAGGGACGGCAGGCAACTGCAGAAAACTTAAGAAGAAATTCTCGAGACAGGATGGGCAGATAAGACATTTAAATGAACTACTCTGCAGGGAGTTGCACCGAGTTCACGTTAGTCATTTGGGTGGGGATGTCAGTGTCTGGCCAAGACGATAAGTGGATCCCCCCACCTCCTACACACACGGTATTATTCAGACATCACCTGATCTTCCCGGGTGACTACAAAGCCACGCAGCAGCTGAACCCTGTGCCTTTGCTCCTGGGACACACGGGGAGCACTGGACTACCAGCTCTGCAGCACCATCAGCATACTTTCCAGATAAAGCCTTCTGAAAAGACATTGACCCATCTGGAAGCCTCGCTATCTTAAGTGCACATCTGCAGTGATTTAGCCAGATGAACAGAAGTTAGGTCATCGGGAGGGCTTCATAAACACTGGGAATTAAAGACCATCTCTATTACCACTAGATGTTTTCTCACGTCTTACAGTACTGCCCCTGCTATTAAAGAGGTATCAGGAGGTGGCTCAAAAACGCATTTCGAAGATGAGCTGCTTCATGCCAAGCTTCTGTTCGCCCTCTCCTGAAATCCATGAGGTTATCAACCTCGCCAGCGCTGGTAAGGGCTTCAGGACAGCAGATGATTCACCGCAGCAGCTCGGGTGTGCACGCAAGCTCAGCTTCTACACCAGACAGAACCAGCAATCCCCTTCCCCCCTTGCATTCCTCTAGCAGTTCCCAGCTAAGATTCTTAAGATATCCCAAGCTTTACATCATATATCACAGCAGGCACATGCTCAGCTTACTGGTGAAAGTGAATATTGTCCCTGCTTACAGGGGGAAAAGCTGGCCATGAATCCCAGGCCGCCTATCAAAGGTCTGGACTTGTAGCTACAAGACCACCACAGCCTGGCTTCCCACGCCGCGGCACGCAAACACGCGGGGCTCCACAGCACGGGGCACTTGAACAAGAACAATCCGAGACTGCAAGCACCAACAGACCCCTATTTGTATCGGAAAACCATTACGGAAGGTATAGTTACGCATCAGTATATTAGATTTTATTTTGTCAGATCATTGGGGGTTTTTTATTATTTCTTTTGATCAGGCTTATAGTGTTCAAAATACTCCTAAAACCTTAAATTCTGTTTCCAAGTTTAACTGTGACTTCTTTCTGCATGCTGCATTTTAACTTAATGAGCTCCTAACCATGAAGAAGTATAAAATTCACTACAGAATTGTAGTTAATCATTGATTTTCAAGGCTAAATTTTCTTCTCATGCTGGGTCAGATTCCTGCAGATTGCAGGATGAATTCTGTGGGCAAGATTCAGCTCTGCCATCTCCAGTACAGTGGATAGCCTCAGAATTGCCTTTCTACACACATTATTTTTAGACAAGGAAACATCAAAATTCAAGATCACTCTTAAAGCTTCTGAATATTCACTAACTGGCATAAGTGAAATTGTCCAGGATTCTTTTGATATCACAGTGCTTAAAATATCTTTAAAGCACTGTACAAGCAGCACTGGATGCAACTCACAAGCTGATGGTGAATGTAATTTTAGTGTCCTGAATTTTTTTTTTTTTTAATCTTCTGTGGTGTTAGAACAACCCACAAATACGAAATGGCACAGGCTTTTTTTTTTTTTTTAATATTTATTTATTTATTTACTATTGCCAAAAGGCAGAAATCCCAGAGTTTTCTAAAGATATTCTGTTGGGAGTCAGAGCAAAGGTGAAGCATATTTGAGGTGTATTCTGTCACCGCAGTATCATTTGGAGCACACTATGCTTCCTACCCTCAACTACTAAAGATGGATACAAATTGCAGTTGAACAATGGTACCACATAACAGCCCATGGAAAAGACCTGCCCCATCTATGTTATTATCAAAGATGTTAGAGTGCCACCTTCAGTCTGCAAATGTGGGGAGAAAATCCCTTTTAAATCTAAGCATGACGTGAGCAGGCTTTCCAGGAGAATCTGGTAGCTGCAGACATTAAGCAACCACAGGTTTCCATTCGTCCTCTGTAGAAATACGAAATAAACCATCACCTCCAAGAGGTGAACCTGAATCTTTGGAACCGCTGCCATATTTACGGCTTTCCTTTCGCCTGTCCTTCTAGATTCATGGAACGAAGACAGAAGGCTTGAGCAAAAGATGAGCCATGCCCCAAGTTACTCCTAGATACACCTTAGGGCAGAAAAAGGGATTTCTGACTCTTACAGAAGTATTTAAAACAGGTCTGGTGGAGAAATATATTCATCATGGTTTAGATTCACATTTTCTAGGGCAGCAAAGAGTGTTTTTAATGTTAAAGGACAATAGAAAGAAAGTGCTTCTGATTTTCAGAATAAGCTTTGCCAGATCGGTCCTAAGGAATACGTCAACTGCAAAATGCTGCCGAGATCTACGGTGTCGGGGCAGCAGCAGCCTGAGCTGCTCCGGTCCCGCCTGCGCCGGGTCGTGGCAGACCACTGATGTGCAAAGCAAATTTACTTCCTACTCCACGGCTCGTACGGTTACACCACGCTTTCAACAGCACTGCAGTGAGACCCCGCCGTTAGTTCTCAATGTAAAACTGGCTCATGAAATGCAAAAAAACACCAAGTACAAGACGCACTCCAAACCTCCACCTAGCGCATACGGAGATATAAAATTGCATCTGCATGAGACGCTTGGTCTGTGCGTAATTCATCCATATTCCCAACCAGCACATAGTAATTAGCCTTTGCTGACACTTCTATGAATGGGCATACTCATAAAAGTTCTCCAGTTTTTTGTATTTATTGCACACACGTTCAGTGACTGGTTTTTGGTTCTTACCTAATTTGAACTGAAATAGTAAGTTGTTAATACATTGTTAATTGAAACTTTTTTAAAAAAAACAACCTAGTTTTAACACAACACAACAGTCTTGCACAAGCAGAAACATTTTAAAGACTACACTGCTTCCCCCGAAGTGATGTTTGCTGCAGTGGGATAAATAAAGGGAGCAATATAATCAGTCAGACTAGAAAGCAGCAGTGATGTATTTAGTTATCTCACCGCGCTAATCCTCTATCAGGTGACCGCTCACAAGATTTCTTTAAGCCCTCATTACAGAGGCAGAAACCCAGAACCAGGACATACACTGTAGTGACCCCAAAGTAACATGTTTAACCTCTGAGAGATCTTGGTGGGATTTACATTCTGACCAGGCCAACAACAAGTTGCTCCCGTAAAGGCGGGTTGTACCGCTGTGGCAGAAAAGCCAGAGTAGAAGAAAGAAGAAAAGTATTCTGCTATTTTTTTTGCCTGAAGGCAAATAAAGAAATAGCTAACTGAAATTTCACAAATCAGAAACAGCTTTTGCTAACCATCCAGAAGCCACACAAATTAGTAATTGGGGTTTAGGATCTAATTCCAGGAGCTCTGAACCTGCAGCTTGGCAGGGACAAGGCTTTTAATTCTCTCATTAAAAAGCCCTACAATTGAGTAGATATTAATTTTGCTTTATGACGACAAATCCTACAAGTCAGTTCAAGATACTTACACTGGGACAGGTTTTTTATATATATATATAGTCGTTATACTTCAGACACTTTCACCAGCTTGGAAATATTGTCCCTTAAATACTCGTTTTCAAAACAGAACAGCTTCTCTTCACCCGCTTTAAAAGCAGGGCCACTACCTCGCTGTCACTGCTCATGGCCACCTACTCCGGCGTACGCACGGGCGCGTTTCCGAGCCCGAGAAGCTGCAGGTACGCAGCCGCAGATCGCCCCTGCCTGCACCGCCCATCTGCAGCGTGCTGCAACGTGCTGCCATCGACGCAACGCCTTTTGTCGAGTTACCTCGCCAAGTACATCTTAACTATGTTATCTTTAGAAGACGCTTCTACAAGGAAAGGCATTGGATTAAGCCTATTATTGTAGAAAAACTCTTGCTCCGAGTTTTTGCTTGCAAAAGAAATAAAATACAGAGTACTACATTTACCAAACATGCCAGTAGGTTGGTCTAGTCTAGGGAGAAAAAAAAAAGGCAAAACTCCAAACTCACCTTGATCATTTCTGCCACATAACTTTCCGGTCCTGTATATTCCGTTGAATCTTTTACTTTCACTAACACAATGAAGCACAAGTAATGCCACATGTTGTGCTCTTCTTTAATGTGCTCTTCAAACGTGACTGTCTTGTTATCAAACTTATCTCTTTCCAAACCTACAAGAGTGACACATATATAACCCTTAGTGCTTACGAATCGGTACTAAGAAAACGAGCTCTAAGAACAAAACTTGTTTCTACAGGCTGCTGCGCTTCGTAACAGCCACAATCACTGTTAAACGAACACCCAGTAAGAGGGACAAACCCTCTAACAAAGGGCCACAACGTAGTGAGGAGAGGAAAAACGGTGTAACAAGCCCTGCTCACACTTATTACACGTAACAGAAAACTTCTGGTTAAAAAAATGCAGTCGGTTTATTGGATTTCATAACTCATCTCCTATTTTTAGGTCAAATGGTACCAAAAGCAACATTTGATTTGCAGCAAACTTCCAAAGGTTACTTCTGTCAGTCTGTGTGTTATGCAACTTCTGCATGACCGTCTCATTTAACCGCACCGGCCTCAGAGGCTCGGCAGCTTCATTCCCACTCTACCGATGGGAAAAACTTTCACAGGCGCTACTCAACAGGCTGCACCCTTGGAAAAAACCCAACTGTTTATAAAAATCTCTCCCATTTCAATAGGAAACTATTCTCTGAAGCACAGGAGAAACAGAAACTAAGGATTAGAGGAGAAAATGGTAACTGAGCATACATTCCCTCTCTCTTCCTGCTGCCAAGCTCCTACGCATGTGGTACCCAAGAATATCAACCAGCCGAGAATGCAAGGTAGGAACAGCCAGTAATTCCAGAATCCCGTTTCCTGCTAGTTTGCAGCTACCTCCGACTCTGGCAGAGTAAATCCTTATTTAAGGGTGTTTCCACACTTACCACAAATAAAGCAAGTTGTTTTTAAAATTTCTTCTTTCTTCTGCTTTTCACTCCTTAAATCAGCAAAAGTGTCAATGATCACACCAAAAATCAGGTTAAGGACAATAATGATGACCATGAAGAAGAATAACAGATCATATATCACTCTAGCAGCAAAAAGAGGTTCCTGCAAGATACATATTTCAATCATTAACAACCCAAATACGTGCACCTCTAAGCCTCACCATACCTTTCTCAGTTCAGCAACAGAGTGCACTGCCCCACAGCCCCTCCCTTTAGAATCTCCATTTCTGATGCTCTCCACTGATAACTTACAACTCAAAACATTAAGTGAAACTAAAATGCAAGACTACAGAAAGAAAAGCCAAATTAGTCAGCTACCAGTATGCGATCGTTCTGCTTACTGTGTCCAAGTCCGTCCTCTCCCCCCTCACACGCACCAAACCGCGTTCTCTCCTCACCCCCACCCTGCAAGCCCATCCAGATTATATCCTTATATTAATCTGCTTACATACGAACACAGTATTAGTGTTGACCATAAAGTCTTTTTCTGGAGTTTAATAGTATTCATTTCATGTATGCTAACAACCACGTACGTGGACATTAAGCTGGACTTCCCTGTACCCATTTCATACTTATTGCAGGCCTGAATACCTAACCCCATTTTCAGAATCGTCCTGCCAGTTGGGTGCCAAACTTTTATTAAGAATTATGTAACTTTTAAACCATTGTAAGCTGAAAATAAGGCTAAATATTAGAAAACACTTTGAAATTGCTGACAATATAGAAACGCATTCGCTCTGACCAGTTCTGCTCCTTTGCCCCCTTCCTTGGTTTTGGAGGGGAGGGGACAGCCTGAGACTCAAATGGGCACAATTAGCTGAAGAAGCAGCTAAATGGGCAGCTTTGGCTACTACGAAAAATTCCT